ATAATCTTCCTTCGATTCGCCACGATAGTCCCCGATTTGAACTACAATACGTCCATTACGATACATCTGTTCCCCGGGACTATCAACAGTGCAGACAATCTGCTTTGTATCAATGTAGAACTGTTGAAATGGCATACAATTAATGCCTGCAATTCGTACGCCCGAATAGATATCGTTATAGTTCTTGCCAAGGTTTATGCCCTTGATCGTAATATTTGTGCCGCCCTCCCAAGGCCCCGTCTTTGGCTCAAACGAATGTATTTCTGGATTTGGACAAATCTCGCTGCGGTTCAGCCAATCCGTTTTGCCCTCATTATTCTTATTGCACTGTTCAACCACTTCACATGTGTTTGTCGATGAGCACCAACCGCAGTTATATTTCTCAGCCAAAGCCAAGCATATGCCACAACTGTCAGCCATGTCGCGACACCGGTATATCACAACTGAAATAAAATCAAATGAATGAAATGCAGGTGAAAAGCATGCTCGATATTTCACGACCACATAATTTAATATGAAAACCATCAACGGACCAGACTCAAATTACTTGCAAACATTTACGAAATCTAAGAGTATTTCCTTAATATTATTAAATTTTAATTTCTGACTTACCGTGAATATTATGAGGATTGTCAAGGGGTTTCGAGCCACCCCAGATAACAGCAAAAGTGGCTGTTAAATTCGGTGAACGTGAAGTGTATTGGAATTCCATGCTATCGCAGTAGATGGTGTCGCCCAACAACTGGGCGTTTAGGCTGGTAACACGTCCCTCTATATTAAATTGGCAAACGAACCGTGTTTGCACAATAAACTGGCCAATAATGTGAACTTTCACTTTAATCGATTTGCTAGTGCCAGCAGCAACAAGAACCTCACTGCCGTCCCCGGTGGCATTGATGGTTGGACAAAAGCCAGGGCCTGAACGATAGCTCGGACCAATTCGGCTAACACCCGTCACCAAAATGTCGTTGCGACAGTTCTCAGCTGTATCGTGCGTGCAGCGATGGGCTTCAACACACCAATCGCATGGGAACTCCGATGACACGCAACGTGTGCAGGATGAATGTGTGCTACAATCAAAGAAGGTAAAGTCTGTGGAGACCAGATCTGGTCCATTCCGTGTACGCACGGACAGTTTCGCTGTGAAATGATGTTTGCCCTGCTCGATTTGCGGCAGCATATCCGTGCGCGGAGTTGTGCAGTTAACCCCATTTCGCTTCTTTGTTGCATTTGTAAAGAGCGCTTTGTCCTCAGTGGTAAATGCACATATTAGGTTCTCCTTCAGTTGCGGCAAATGGTCGATGATCAGTTCCAAGGTGCGTGCGGTAGTCCGCTGCAGCTGATGCGGCACCACACTGGTGATTGTTGTGCACTTGCCCGTTTTGTAGCTCACCCAGTACAGTGGATCATTGGCATCGTCCTGGCAATTGGAGCGGGGACTGCACTTGTTCTCCAATGAGCACCAACCGCAATAGGGATCACGTGCGCCCAAGCACTCGCCGCAAGTCTTAAAATCAGCACAATCATATACCTTCACCTTCGACACCTTACGGTCGGACATCGCATACACGTACAGATTTTGATTGTCGAACTGCATATCCTGCTTGATTGGCGACCCAACATCAACGGCCAAACTCGCATATTCATTCGCAACAGTCGAGGATTCAACTACAACTTTCTTAATATATCCATCGACGGTGCCAATAAATACAACTGTGTAACCGCTGGTGCTTGTCGCCGCCACAGACGTTAAAAGCGTATTAAACATTGCAACTGGAACCGCTGTGATTGGCTGTTCCCCGCCCAACGGCGAATTCACATCCAATCCACAAAAGTCTTCCCCGATCGTTTGTAGTTTCTGCAATTAAGTTAATACATTAGTATTTCAGTAATAACAATATACAATTAATATATATAATTAAATTCCTCTAGAATATCTAGTTTTTACAGCTAGCACACAGTCCATTTAATTTAAGTTTATTATTGTACAACTCTTGTAGATCTACTTATTTATGGCATATTTATAAATGATACCCTACATACCGTTAGAACGCAGGGCATGCTGGGAGATATAAAATCAAGTCCCCGCATGCCATTTCCGTTGAAGCAGAACTTGATATTCTGCATAAATTTGCGACGAATCGACTTTAATGAGTATATGCAGAGTGCTGAACTGTTGGTCGGTGTATTGCTTTCCCCCTTCGAAAAGACAGCGAAGAGGACGTCGTCCTGAATCGATATGCCTAGGCTTTGGGCTAGGTCCAGGCTTGGTTTTCCCAAGAATCCAGCTTGAACGAGATTGAACTTAATACCGCCCTGAGCCTCACTGATGCATTCAACCGGAATCTCAGTGTACGAATAGTAGTTCGAGTCCTCCTGACATATTCGCACCAATTTCGTAATATACTCCTTCGGCGACGAATGGTGACTGTGCTTTAGCTGAGTAGTGAGAAAATAAGAAAAGCGTTCCGAGCTAAAGCCGTACACATAGTTGACCAAATAGTTTTCTCGGGCATACGAATTAATGAAGGTACGCGTGCCGGTTGTTACAGCCGATGAGGCGATTTGAAACATCTTTGACTTTTCCAATGAGCGCGATGCTACGGCTGGTATCTCGCTGCGATATGGTGAGTTATTCGTGTAGGTAACGCCAACATACATGACATTTGTTACCGGATGCTGTGGCGGTCCGGGTGCAATGAATGCCACCGTCGATGAGTTGGCATCGTTGGCGACTACGGCGTCGGGTACCTCGTGCTCAATGATGCTAACATTTTGCAGATTGCGCACCGTACATGTGCCCTGAAACAGGGATCCACAAGCAATCAACCGAGATGTCGCACGGTCTATGAGCAAGACCTTGTTGTAATTGTCGGTTGGCTTGCGAATCGCATTAAGCGGACAGTCGAGTATTGTGCATTCCACAGAATCGTTCTGAGGACCCGTTTTCACTGTTTCGTGCAGCTCCAAATCAGGTGATAGCTGATACAGGCGATTCACGCCACCAACAAAGACGCGTCCCGTTATTGTGTCCACTAACAAATGGTTTAGCGTCGTATCAAATCTAGCCACATGTGTGATTACATTACTGCTGCTGCTATTCAAGTATCCCACATTCAAGTCAGTTTCCGCCAGGTTAATCTTAAGGGCGGACGCGCTTCTTTTTATCCTGTCTTCTCGTTGAGTCCATGACGTCAATCCATTCCCTAATAATGACGATGCTGACACTGACGATATTCCGAAAATTGTTATTGGTATTACACAACAAATTAGAATATTCATTTCCACAAATCCCAGGCTAATCGCCGCGATGGCGATCAGATCCAATATATATGCTTTGAAATACGAGTATTAATACTATCCAGTTCCTGTTACGTCTGATCCGGCTTTTTAATTTCCTTCGTGGAATTATCTATTGCTATAGCTGTCTTCTATCCATTTGCACTGAGAATTCAATTCATCTATAGCTTCTGTTTTTTTTGTATCTCACTTCCAGTTGCAGGCTGCGAGCTGCTACATTATTCCTCTTTATCAGTAACTAAACAAGGACAAAAAAATAAGTGTATATATAATTTTACATTGTCGATAATAAATATATATACGGAAAATATATATACCAAATTTACAATACAGATTTTTAAATGTAGATATTAACACCTCGAGTACAGAAAAACATATCAAGCCTATGGGGTCTAAAATTAAAATTAAAACAAAACAAAAATATATAAAAAAAAAATACAAATAATAAAAAAAGGAAAAAATAAAAATATGAAACATATTTTTTTCTATTGTTGAGTGTACAAGATTTTTGATATTGGAGTTCTTGCTTTAAAAAAAAATATATATTTATATTATATATATATTTATTTATTTATTTATACATACACAAAATTTCTATGCCATTAACCAACCCAAAAATCACAACATTCATTTTCATTTTACTCTAATGTGTGTACCATATGATATAAAGTACCAAAGTACTAAGTATAAAGTAGCCACCGCCCGCCGCTTTTTAATATATATATATATATATATATATATATATATATGTGTGTGTGTTCATACGTATATATATACTCAAATTTGTAGATAAAGAGAGTTCATTTTTTTCGTGATAATATTATTTTAAGATTTATATTCTTCTGATAATATAATGAGCTTTGTTAATTAAGGAAAGAATTATTAATTTATATGCCTTTAAATTAGCAGAGTAATTTACACCTGATGGATGTACAAGTACGTACATACATACAAGCACATATTCAGATAAAAGTGGGAGAGTTGTGTGTTGCATTTGTGTGTGCTTGGTCTGTGTCCATGGACGTATGTATGTTCGTATGTGTATCATACATGCGCATTTAGCTTTGCAGTTAATTGCTTATTTTTTATATTTGCTTATATTTTAAAATATAGGCTTACACTTTTAATATTGTCTTATGTTTAAATTAAAATGGATTGATGCAAATCATTGACATCTGTACGCACTGCATATATAACAGTGTAGCCTTACAAATTCATATTTTTAACAATTTCACAACTCTTCTTTTTTAATGTACACATCAGCTAGACACAAGTAACTATTTACTGAAAACTTAAGTGTGACTAATTTCGCGATAACAATAAATAGCATTTATGAATTATTTAATTAAAAATACAATCAATACTGACTGTTTAAGCAAAATTTTCGCTTTCTGGGGAACCCGCACCACTTACACACACGCACATATTAAACAAACACATACCGACACTTTCAATGCAACCGTACCATTTTCGATATTTCGGATACATAAATTATCGATATAATATTTCTAATTACTACCTGTCGATATGCGCCAAAAGGCAACCCAACATTTTCAAAATGTCCACTCTATTTTTAAAATCATTCAGTGCTGAGCAGTGGTGGAAAATCGTAAATCAACCCAGTGAAACGCCCTAATACATCGATATTTTGATAAAAGCATCGTTGCGTGGATTTTTTCATCTCTATAGTGTGACCACTACTTAATTCCCTTTTCTTTACAGCGTGCCGCGTGTAAGGTTTTCAACAATCAAATTTTTTTAAAAAATGTCAGAGGAAGGAGATGGAAATGGGTCGGGAGCATCCCTCACTTTCCCTACGCAATGTTCGGCACTACGTAAGAATGGATTTGTGATGCTCAAGGGACGCCCATGCAAGATTGTGGACATGTCTACCTCCAAGACAGGAAAGCATGGCCACGCCAAAGTCCATCTTGTTGGTATCGATATATTCACACAGAAAAAGTACGAGGATATTTGTCCCTCCACCCACAATATGGATGTGCCGCACGTAAAACGCGACGACTACCAGCTCACTTACATTAGCGACGATGGATACCTAACTCTAATGAACGACACTGGTGTCATTCGTGAGGACTTAAAAGTTCCCGACAGTCCATTGGGTGTTGCTTTGCGCAACGATCACGAAAGCGGCAAAGATCTTTTGTGCACTGTACTAAATGCCTGCAACGAAGAATGTGTTATCGCCGTCAAAAATAATACTGCTTTGGATAAATAAAAACGGCTGGAAAAGGTCATCTATCGATCTTATACTGGAAAAGTGTAATGATATAATGAAGAAATATCAATTAAATGATTCCAAAATACAAGCTATTCGTTTATATATGTATATGGTGTTCATGTAGTTTTACTTGGCTTTGATAACATTCAAAAGTCAACTAGCTGAGGAGTTTCTTTTTAGGCATTGTTTGCTGGGAGCCGAAATGGCTATTGTTTTCGGATTGACATCTGCAAAATAAACTAAAGGTTCCAAAAACACGTGCATAGTTGCTAATGTTATTGAACATGTTCTGATCTACTTAAAGGTATGAAATCATTAAGGCTAAAGCGGGACGACACTATTTGTCATGATGAGGATCTAAGAATATTTCGCTTGCAGTATTTCAGTGTTAGTCACCTACATACATATGTACTTATATATGTGCATGAATGCATGTACGTGTGTACCTATTGTATACATGTAAATTAAAAGTAAATCTGCTGGAATTGATATTGTGTGTGAAAGACCTCTTATTGGTTTCAATGAAGAGGTTTTAAAAAACAAATAATGTATCTTTATTACAGTTTACAAAAAGGACACATATCCTTTAATATAAATAAGTAATACATGATGTACACACATACGTACATGTATAATAACATCGCAGCATTTAATCAGCAAAGTTTTGCTGTTTTCCTATGCATATTTATCCTTTACTATTTATAATATTGATTTTAATCGATATTTAGATTCAGCTACTAGTTTTTATTTCTTTTCAGTCAATAAATATAATATATATTTACCGAAAATATATGTATATGTTCAGATAACATAACAAATTTTATTATATTTATTTCAGCTAGCTAGTAGCTATTCTCAATCCTATTTCCTAAAATTATAATGCATTATTTGGGCAACACCCCCATTGTTGCAACTACATATGTAAATACATATATGAAATTGGTGGCAGAGAGCTGTATCGATATAATATTTTAGCACCACTACTTATCGAAACACAAAAAATGTAACCATGAATGTATTCACTTTGCAACTACATCGAAGTACTTCTATATACCTCCGTCAGTTGGTCGAAAAATGTTCGCGTTACGTGTTGCCGCTAAAGCTGATAAGAATTTGCTGCCAATACTGGGGCAATTGTGTAAGTATATACATATAATTATAAGAATAATATTGATCAATGAAGGTAAAAATAATTTGAACGAATCAAATTGGTGCTTAAATTAAGTCTTTGATTAGGCAAAAAGTGGCTCGAAGAAAATCTAACATAACCCTATTGTTGCGGTAGAAGGAACTGATTGCATAATAATTAATGCACATTTATATTAGTATGTTTATGTAAGATGATTATAATAATATAAAAGCAATAAATGCAAATAAGTGCCAAAAATCTTTCTGAAGCTATATTAATTAGTTAATTAATTTTATTGTTCTTATGTATTTTAGTATATATGCATATATTTATATACGTATACATCAGTTAATGTTAAAATAATTGTTTTATTATTCAAAAACATATATTCAATTATTATATATGTATATATTTAATTAATTGGAACTAAAATGTAATCATTCTGACGTAACCTGTATATGTACATACATCTGTTAATAGAGAGAAATATATACATACATATATGAAATTTATATTAGCTTACTCTATAAACAAGAGTAAAGTTATATATCAAACCGAATTCGTTAATTGTTATTTTCCAGCTCGCGGTCATGCTGCCAAAGCTGCTGCTAAGGCGGCCGCTGGAGGAAATGGAAAAATTGTGGCAGTGATTGGTGCCGTCGTTGATGTGCAGTTCGACGACAATCTGCCCCCTATTCTGAACGCTTTGGAAGTTGATAACCGTTCGCCACGGTTGGTACTGGAAGTAGCCCAGCACTTGGGCGAGAATACGGTGCGTACGATCGCTATGGACGGTACTGAGGGCTTGATTCGTGGACAAAAGGTTCTCGATACTGGCTATCCAATTCGTATTCCAGTTGGAGCAGAGACGCTGGGCCGCATCATTAACGTCATTGGTGAGTGACCAATCTATACAAATAAAATAAAAAGGATCGAAGACAGAAAACGTGTAAAGAAATTGATTTATTAAATAGGTGAACCCATTGATGAGCGCGGTCCAATCCCAACCGATAAGACCGCCGCTATTCACGCCGAAGCTCCTGAGTTTGTGGAGATGTCGGTCGAGCAAGAGATCCTAGTAACTGGAATTAAAGTTGTCGATCTCTTGGCCCCCTATGCAAAGGGTGGTAAAATCGGCCTATTCGGTGGCGCTGGAGTCGGAAAAACTGTACTCATTATGGAGTTGATTAACAACGTCGCCAAGGCTCATGGTGGCTACTCTGTGTTTGCTGGCGTTGGAGAGCGCACACGTGAAGGCAACGATTTATACAATGAGATGATTGAGTCTGGCGTCATCTCGCTCAAGGACAAGACGTCCAAGGTGGCTCTTGTCTATGGGCAAATGAATGAGCCCCCTGGCGCCCGTGCCCGTGTTGCTTTGACTGGTCTGACTGTTGCCGAATATTTCCGTGATCAGGAGGGACAAGATGTGTTGCTCTTTATCGACAACATTTTCCGCTTCACTCAGGCTGGCTCCGAGGTATCCGCCCTTTTGGGTCGCATTCCATCGGCTGTCGGCTATCAACCCACTTTGGCCACTGACATGGGCTCTATGCAGGAGCGTATTACCACAACGAAGAAGGGCTCCATCACTTCGGTGCAGGCCATTTATGTGCCAGCTGATGATTTGACCGATCCGGCTCCAGCTACAACTTTCGCTCATTTGGACGCCACAACCGTGTTGTCGCGTGCCATAGCCGAGTTGGGCATTTACCCAGCTGTCGATCCCTTGGATTCCACTTCACGTATCATGGATCCAAACATTATTGGCCAGGAGCACTACAATGTCGCTCGTGGCGTACAGAAAATCTTGCAAGACTACAAATCTCTTCAGGATATCATTGCTATTTTGGGCATGGATGAATTGTCTGAGGAGGACAAATTGACGGTTGCGCGCGCACGCAAGATTCAGCGTTTCTTGTCACAGCCATTCCAAGTCGCTGAGGTCTTCACAGGACACGCCGGCAAGCTAGTCCCATTGGAGCAAACCATCAAGGGCTTTTCTCAAATTTTGGCTGGCGAATACGATCATTTGCCAGAGGTTGCGTTTTACATGGTTGGTCCCATTGAGGAAGTTGTTGAGAAAGCCGATCGCCTCGCCAAGGAAGCCGCCTAAGCTTTGTGGACCCCAATAACATTAAACCTTGCTTCTTGCTAATCAAATAATAATATTCAATTGAATTAGGCATTAAAGATGTCAGAGACAGTTTAAACCAATAAAACGTAACTTAACAACACGACTCCCAACTATTTTGTATTTAATTTCCAATTATACATTATAATATTATTGACCTAGACGATCAGCGAACTTTCTGGTAATATAGTATAGTTTCCCTCTCCGTTTTTCCTTAGAAAAAGAATAGAGTTAAAGGCTGTAATCGAATGGCCCAGTTGGTGAGCTGTATTTCAATAAAAATACGCAATACTGAATATATTAGTATTTGAGAATAGGAAGAAGAAAGACAGGTAAATTAAAATTGCCGCTGTGGCCACGATCAGCTGTATTTTATTTTACTTTAGATGTGTCATCTGTCGTTCCCATCGAATATAGGAATGTAATTTTTTTTAAATCGTTTTTATTAGGTATGCATTTGTAGTTAATAAAATCATAAATATACAATAATTCATATTGATTTTAGAGTTATTACCGATATTCTGTTTAAATATGTATTTATATAGTATTTTAAGGGCATCAACTATAGCATTTTTTTTATAATTCAAATAGGCGATTGTTTGTGATCGCTTAATATTTCGAATTTTTATTCTCTTGTAGTGTTTTATTTTATTTTTAATTTTTTTTTGTGGGATAGTAAACAATTTGATACAATTCTATCTTATAATGTGCTTTATCATTGTATATAAATTTGTGTTTTTTTTTTTTTTTTTTTTTTTTTTTTTTTTTTTGTGATTTATTATGTATGCATAATGTTTTGTATTTATATACTTTAGATTTAGATAATTTAAGAAAACGTTTAAGTACTAGAAAATTATCGATAATAAACGTACTCCCGTTTCCTTGGATTAATTGAACATGCATACACGACATTTAACAGGGTTAACATTGTCTCTCTTTTCGAATGTCCTTTCCGCTTATAGTTGCAATTTGTGTGCGTAGACGTGCGAATCTATTACATATGTGGGTCCTTGTGTATGTGTGTGTGTGCTTATATTCCACTCACATAAAAAGTATGTGTGTGCGTGTATCAAAGTAAATAATTTAGTTTCTATCAAAGTAAAATTTTTTTGTTTATAACCTTGCATAGCCAGAACATATACATGCATACACACTAGTATTTACTATGTACATACATACATATATGTAAGTGATATGATCTGCAATGTCTGCCTGTGCTCAAGCCATATATTCGCATCTATCTAGTATTATATATGTATGTAGGTATTGCTGACTGATCGAAAACCTTTCTTAGAAGAACCTATTGAATTATCAAGATCAGAGAACAAAAGAATTTGTATCATGTGGATGATAAATTGAAAAAAAGGAATGCATTGCAATTTCTAAACATTCGTGTGAATATATCTATATTTGTATTAGGTCATTTATTAGATAGGACATTTTGACTATTCAGTTTCATTTTAAATACATAAGCCCGAAACTGGACTTTAACCCGTTTTCCAAGGTCTTCACTTTTACTCACACACATTTACCAATGACTCCATTTACACAAATTAGGGAAATGTTCGCATATTTAGGTTTTTGCCTTCAAAACTGTTCAAATAATTCTCTATGAGTTGGCTTATCGATATATATTTTATTGATATAAGCCTTAACGGTCGAGTATGACTGAAAAATTTCTCAAGTCTAAGAATTTTGACTAGATCGACGAGATATTTGTAACTTTTCATCCTTCTTCAGCATATATTATACCAACGTCTTTTGCTTAAAATATGTTTATAAACTGATTTAAAAATCAAAGTTTTTTTCATAGATTTCAAAATAAGTATTTTTAGATTTTTGTTTTGTTTTTAAGTATCTAAATTTAAAACACATTTAAAGAAGTTTTAAAAATTAGCATATATAATATGTACAACGTTTTTCTTTTTGTTTTCTTATTGTTGAAGTACGTTTTTTTGGATGTAATGAACAACATTGAAATCTTTATTAATAGAATATTATTTATTTAATTTGAAAATTTGTATATGTATATAGGTATATATTATTAGGAGCTTCGTAATTTTGTTTGAGTTTGTATATTTATATTTGAGTTTAAGGGTTTTGAATTGAATTTGCATTTCCAAAACGTGAAGTTTTTGGGCTTTTTGCTAAATTTAGATAAATAGATGAATTACAAATTTATATAAATTCAGAATAATTTTCGATTTTCCAGATTTTGTATGTTTTAAAATTGTTTTTTGTATAATAATATAACTAAAACTTGAATAATTTGATAATCTTTACATATATACCTTGAACTTATATCAAATACAATTCAGGATGTACTGAATTCTTCTTATAGACAGATGATGAAGGTCTATTCGCGCTCTCTCTCTCTCTCTCTCTCTCTCTCTCTCTCTCTCTTTCTCTCTCTATCTCTCTTTCTCTGTCTTCTATTCTCCGCAGCACAAATCAAGATAAGGTGGAAAAATCAATGAGTAATTAAGGAGCTCACTTGTTATCAATGGCCGAGTAGTTTGTGTCCAATGCTTGACTATCTAGTGGAGAAGTCCGTGCCTCAAATTGATAGAGACATATAGGTATTTCGAGCAACCAAGCCAGCCATAACTCATAGCATATGTGTTCTCCCCTTAGTAAGGTATCATTCATTCGATTAACCCTGCAACCAGCAGACAGCTACTTGCTCAGATTTTAATTCAACTCAGACAGATTGAAGCTTGTTTTTTTGTTTCTTCCATAGTTTTATAATAATTAGCTAAGTTATTCTGTTTTCATTGTGTTTTTGGTAAGCTAAAATTTGTAAATGCTTAGTATTTCATTTGATTAAATACATTAACTAATGCTTTGCAATATCGCGTGAAAACATTATGCTTCGTATAATTTTTTTCTAATTCATTATGCGCGTGTATGCAATTTTTCTTTCCCTAGCTTTGATTTCGTTACACACAAAGCAGTGTGTATATATACTATCCCACTTTTTTAATATAATAATTAGAGTATGTTTCTTAATCTTGTTAAAGTTTCTCATCTTACATTTTTTCCTGTCTATATTGAATAAGCTGTACGTTCGTATATATTATACATACATACATATATATACCAAATACAATCAACATAAACATATATATATTTATATATAAGATGCAGAGACGGATAATGATGTGTGTGTGTATGTGTGTGTGTGTGCTATTTAGAATGAATCTATAGATACATTGGTGAATAAAATACATTCAATTTCATAAAAACTCCCTTTTCTTCTTGATATTTGGGCAGAAATTGTAATTTGTTTGGTTTTTACTCTTTTTCATATTTACTACTTTTGACCTTTTTGATCGAATGGATTTTTACTAGAGAAATATTTTTTTATACCGCGATTATCAATAAAATTCACATTGTTGCTCCTTTAATTTCATATGCGCAAAAAGAGGTTGCATTAATCTGTCTTATCTTTTTGAATCTTTTTCGAATCAAATTGAATCTTAAAAAAAATATATGTAGACAACATAGTTGACACTTTCATAATCCCTTTGTATTTTTGGTTCAGATCTCTTTGCTGTTTATTGATTAGTAAGTTTAGTACACACACTTCGATCATAGTTGATTGACCCATCATTGACATTCTTCCGCTCGCCTTCTGTCTCTATCTACTTTTGTGGTATAAAATCGAAAGTCGTTGCCCCACTTATCTTGCCAGATGCGCTGCGATGAAAATGAACATTCTGCCACTTGTTGTCGCGCCTGTGCCAGACACGAGTCTCCTCCGACTGATGAGTGTGTGCATGTCCTTGTCTGAAAGATCAAGATCAAAGATCAGCGCTTGACATCAAGAATACCACAGTCGAAGGTCCTAAACGTTTCACAAACTCCAAGATCTAAGTTATGAAAGGTCCAAAAGTACAGTAATTATCTGAGTCAATCGCGCCTACAGGAGGAGCTCGCAATCACGAGCTCATCTGATGTGTCGGGACTGGGAACGGAGCCCTATTGCGATTAGAACAAATTCTTCCCGGTGTCGAGAAGGGAGAATAATATACTAGGTTTTGTGCAATGTCCGTCTGCCCGTGTGAACGCAATTTTGTCGATGCTATTGAAGCTAGAGACTTGAAGCTTGGAACACATACTCGCGTATATCTCCGATTTATAAAGTGTTAAAATTTTCTCGATACGCCTATTAGGGGTGCGGAAAATCGGAAAATGCATTTTCCGATATACCAGAAATCATATTAGCTGATGAGCTCGAAAGCTGAAATTTTGAATGTAGATCCACGTCGACCACCCTAGTTATTCTAGTTAATTTATTTTAGGAGATATATACTTTTCATAAAACCACTATACCCCGATTTCCCATTTTCAATGGACTCAAGTATAACAAGTAAGAACGTTGCAGGGGCGTTACCGACAGCGGAATACTCATTCACACCCCATCAGCAATTTAGTAGTCAAGTTTATACTCTAAAACTGTACAAATTCAGTTTTTCTCTACTTGCCACGCCCCAATTGGGCGTAGACACTTCATTTTTGGTCAGTCCATAGAACAAGCACTTGGCTCATGTGCAAAATTTCAGCATTCTAGATTTACAGCTTTGGAAGATATAGTTTTATCCGATTTGCCACGCCCCCAATGGGCGGAGCTACATACTAAATTTTAGCTTTCTAGCTCTTCAACTAACATGATTTCTGGGTTGTCGGAAAATGCATTTTCCGATTTGCCACGCCCCTAGTGGGCGGATCCGGAAAATAGCTTCAATAGCGCCGAAATAGACTACGGACAGACGGACAGCAAGAAGGACATTGTACAAAACCAATATACTCATTTCACTTTCGTGAATGAGTATGCAAATTATGTGTCTACCCTCACTATATATCTCCGAAAATATAATAACTAGAAGCTTCAAATTTGGATAGTTAGGTTACTAGTTACCTCTATTGATGACCAAAACATAATTTTTATGCCTCTTTAGGGGCATGGCATATCGAAAAATATCCTGTCATTTTTACATTTTTTGAGTGTAAGCATTCAAATTTTGCAGATAGTGTACCGTTAGCTCGTTTTAACAACTGAACAAAAATGAGTGTCTATGTCCAGTAGGGGCGTGGCTAATCGGGAAAATCTGAATATTATTAAGTATTAGAGCTACTATATTGCTGATGGGATGTGAATGAGCATTGCGCAGTCGGTAACGCCCGACTGCAACGTTCTTACTTGTTTGGCTATTTTAGGCGGACGGGCGAATCTACGCCTACTACTGCAGCAGTACAGTGCGAAAATGGAAACAAATGAGAATACGCCACCTCCTCCCACTCTATACCTATCGATAGAAAGATTATTAGCTACTGCCACTCACTGCTCCCACGGCAAGCAGGAATACTTCATCGATTCTTCGTCCATGCAAACATTTCTGTGGACAGCTCAGATCTCGAATGAAAAAAGTCGCGGGTCTACGGCAACTCTTGATGTACGAGTGCGATCGACTGACTGAATGAGTGATAAGTTATCCTAACAGGGCCTTTCTCATTGTAGTCGGAGTCGTGGAGAGGATGTATTTGATTTATACATCTAGAGAGTATATGCGAGTCGTACTTACTTATCGATATATTGTGTAAGTCTTACATAGGCGATGCAAGCGGCTTCTTCACCCAATAGATGTACGTGCGGATTTAGAATTGTTGTATTAATGGCTTTGCAATTTTTACCAAGAACTGTAAGAAAAATTGTCCATATTTATAAATATTAGTCACACAAATAATATAATTACTTATGTATATATATATATATATATATATATATATATATATATATATATATATATATATATCTATAATCAATTATTTGTGTGACGTATTATTTTTACCATTCTCAAAATAGAATTTATGAAAGTCGATTCCTTCAACCAAATTGCCCAATGCTTCTGGTTCGAAAGCAGTTAAATGCGGATCACATATCTTACTGGAAGAGCCAAAAATCCAATTCAAAAGACAAAATTAAATAAGGATAATGCTTAGCACTTACGTATATCCATCGAAGTCACCGCTGTTGATCGCTTCGATCAATTGTTCTGTTATTTTAATTATTTCCTGTCGTCTGGCTGCTTTGTTTCCATGATGATGGAGTCAGTCGTGTTTAATTGTTCAATTGAATAAAATAGAGCAATAAGAGGAGGTCTTTTTACACAGAGGCTTAGTTTACAGCTTGTTTTTTGCTATGTATTGCTTGCACAGCATAATTACAACCACAGATGAGTTTCGAATACGAATGGCGAAGGATGACAATTACATTTCTTGAACGATTCAAACCAACGAACTAACTAGCCAACAGCTATCCAACGTACCAATCATAATAAAAATGATATATTTATATATATATATATATCATTTTATTACATATATTTATAATAAAAGTGATATATATATAATATATGCATAAAATTAACTCTTAATACAAAATTATAATATTTAGGCATAAAACTACGTTTTGAGATTTTCGTTCACTACTGGATGATCGGTTCAAGTCTTAGTCCCTCGTCGTGCCTGGTGTCAGTCAGCTCGGGGAGTTTACTATGGCGATCTTTCTGTTTCAGCCTCAAACAAACCTAACACTGCGACACCAGCCATCGCACCTTCAATTGGAGGAGGTCTTTTTATACAGAGGCATAGTTAACAGCTTGTTTTTTGCTATGTATTGGTTGCACGGCGATCTTTCTGTTTCAGCCTCAAGGAAAACTAACACTGCGACACCAGCCATCGCACCTTCAATTGGATCTTGGGCTTGAGTAATTATTGGTTCGCTTCAGACCGATGTTCGAACATTCTAGTTTCAAGTAAAGCTGATATAAGTTTTTAGGCTCAGTAATGTTGGGACAGTTTCCTTTTGTCAAATTAGATTATTAATTCATTTTTTTTTCAGGCTTTTGAGAAATTTTAAATTACTAAAAAAACATTTTTTGAATTAATTAAACTTTTTTCTAATTTGATGCCGAATAGTTTAGTTTTATAATTGTATTCAATTTAAAAGTCTGATTTATTACAAAAATAAAATAAAAATTTTAATATTTAAAAAATTTATATTGGTTTGATCAAAGACCTAAATCAAATGGAAAAGTGGCAAAATGTTTCTTAAATTCGGCTTTCCTGATAACTTAACTTTAGTTACAGAGAGAGACAGAGAGAAATGAACATAGATATAATATATACATACATAATTTTAATTGATGTCTTCTCATTTACCATGATGGATATTGGTTAGAATAATATTTATTATGAATGGGTCATAGATCGACTAAAACATGATAAATATTATCAAATGATAAATAGAGCCATTTATGTGTATATATTTGCACATACGTTATCAAATATACATATGCTATAAGATAAGATTCAGGGAATTGGTCACACCTCTATGGGAAGGTATAGGTTAATATTAAATTAACTACGAATCTGAAACTACAATTGATAGAAAAAAAGGAAGAAAAAACTAGAGCGCACAAGTCAAGTACGACTAGAAGATAGAATGGAAATATGCAATGGAAATGGGATCAGCCCATGTAATTATTATGAAACATGGAATAAGTTATCTAACACGAAAATGGTCCGCACGACAGACGCATTTACATATATTTATTTATATACAATATATTTTGTAAACTGCTTCCACCTCAATCCGTCTCTTGCAACCATTATATCTAAACTGCCCATGGTTCACGGCACAAAAATATAGAATATAGAAATATATTTAATCACTTATATACAAAATATACACAAATAAAAAACCTTAAAATGAAGAGCATGCAGGTGGTTGGTATATAAAGAGTAATACATAATATGCTAGGTAGTTGGGGAACAAACAATTTTAATTGATGCATATTTGTGATCTTAGACAGTCAAGCAAGTAGAAGCATACATATATACTACGTATAGTATGTGTGACTGATAAGGAGGATATGTTCCAATTAGCAAAGCCCTTTTTACGTACCTGAAGAGCATTGCGAGGAGTTTCCTGACATTTGCTGACAAGTTTTTGCAGGACAGACAATCCTTATTTCTAAAACGCACACAGTTTAACAAATTTATAAGATTATATATATTTGGGTTATCAAACTCAAGAAAATAATAATAAGGCAAATATTTAACATCGACAAACCGGGAGTTAATCTATGAACAGAGTGTGTAAGGGTGAAACTGATATTCGTAGAGTATCTGTATGTTTTGTGTAAAATCTGAACTATGTATGTATTCTGAGTATTGTGAGTATTTTGAGGCTCAGAAACACTATATTGTAAAGCCGAGTCGTGTAGACGATATGTAATCAATTTGTTTTATACGATGGAGTATTACATTTCCGGTCTGTAAATTTTTAATATGATATTTATTATTTCTTGTAATAAATATTAATATTTCTTTTGGATCAAGATGAATCTAGACCAAACACCAAGAAATGCAGCCCGAAATGTAATAGCGTCTGCAATAAAAAAAAATGGTGAATAAATATGAAAGCAGGAAGAAATGTATCCGAATAACAGTGGATTCTTCGAGCTGCATCCAATTTTCGATAATTTAGAAACTGGAAAATTAATTATCGACGAAATACTGTCAAATAGTTGAAAAGCTTAAACAAAGGAGGGCTAAAATATTTATTGAACGTGTTGATAGACACAGCTTTTATTTCCACAGTATACAAAAGAAGGAAAAATCTCAAAGCAGACGGCGCAATACTGCTGAAAGACTTATCAAATAGTTTACCCTTACATTGTGTCACTGAACGAAATCCTTCAATCCTTCATAAAACAGTAAGCCAGAGTTATTCCCAATTTATGTTAGGCGTATTTCGTGTTCGTTCCAGTGAAATCAAGAATTAATCATACAGTGAAACAAAGCGAAACAGTCACCAAAATCAGTTTCAAGAGCAGCTCGCGAAGCCGTAAAGTCTTGAGTTGAGCCGATTCGGGCCGTTTGGGTTTGGGTTTGTGAAATTTAAAACTATGTCAATAGTTTGACAAGGCGTACTTGACAAGAGGGGGCATCCGAAATATTAATTATTGAGTGCTTAAGCAATGGTCCTAAATTTTTATATCCTGAACCCATTGAAAATGGGAAATCGGTTTTGTGGAAAAGTATGTAACGGGCAGAAGGAATGATCGCAGACACCATAAAGTATATATATATATTCTTGATCAGCACGACGAGCTGAGTCGATATAGCCCTGTCCGTCCGTC